TAAATATACATGCTCAATCTACGACTAAGAAGAATACCCAAGGAACTAAGTTATGGGGAAATCTGCATGATTTCGGCTRAGAAGAGAAGTAGAAGAGCCAAAATATTGRCAATTCATGAAACGTGCAAAATTGAGTTTATGTGGATTTTTTTTGGTTTTTTATTTTTAATTCTTTGAATTTGGCTAATTTAAGGTTGCAACTTTTTCTATTTGTTAAGAACAAACTAATAAACAAGTGAAAAAAAAACAAAATCTTAATTTGCTTGTATGGTTTTATTGTTATGCGTGATGAAAGTCAAAGCTGTGAAACATTCACTCACTTTTGCTCGGTACTGTATATCTATATTTTTTTATATATAGAAAACCCGGTGTATTCATCCCCGATAATAATTTTACATAATATGTACTTATATCACTGGAAAAACGGGCCAGCTAGCGATCCCGCAGTAATTGTTTTTATTGCGGGCTACGCGCATGTAGCCAGATTCGCCCCATTTTCCCCAGGCGTTTTTCAGAAGCCAATAATCGACCCCTTTATCCGTACCGTAGCCCACCACTAACAAGGAATGGTAGGTAGTATTTTTGGTGCAGGGTTTTTGAGCAATTCCCGATATATAACCCTGCATATGCTGACCATTGAAGGTCACCGTAACGGGTCCTATTGTGGCTACGGCTGCCTGCAGAGCGTACTCATCATTACGATTGACCAAGACGCTGGCCGCGACGTTAGCTCCATTGTGATCCTTTCTGAAGCGACATTTGCCCCGCTTTCCTTCGTAGCCATATGAGCTGCGGGTATTGATGCCGTTTTCCTTAACGTACCTCAGAGATTCGTCAACTGTGCCGGAGTAGCAGCCCTTGTTCGTGTAGGGCGGGTTACTCGAACAGTCGAGCAGATTCTGCTCTGACAGCTCAATCATTTTCCCGGTCTTAAGAAACTGATGAGACTCAATTGCCGCGACTGTCGCAAACGCATAACAGCTAGCGCATTGGCCCAAGTGTCTAATGCCGCTCACAGCTTTCTTCTTGCGCCAGTCCACACTCTTCGGCAGCTTAAGATTGGCGGGTGGCATATAAACATAATCTGCCCGGACATCTTCCAAGGGAGAGCTGCACGACATCATCTGAAACTCCTCCGATGTCAGATCCGTGAATTGATTAACGCCCATTTCCCAGGTCTCCAGTCCTGCTGCGAACCGCCCATTGTGCGTCTCAAATTGATTTTTGTTGTCTTTGTATATTTGCCTGCGTAACCGATCCTCGCTCGACGTAGCGTAATTTTTATTGTACAGTTTTTTGTAGGAATTCCACTCCTCATCACTGACATCATCATTTGCCATGCATTGCACGACTGCAACTAGAAAGAATATCACTAAAACTGCTCTCATGCTTGAGGCTCGCTGACTGCTGCTGACTGCAACTGAATCTCGCATATTTATAGCTCCAGTTCCAGTGGATTTATTAATTATTTATTAAGAATGAAATTAAGCTAAACAAGTCTCCACTCGAGACTGCTGGACTCGGAGATACCCTGAACCCTCTAAGCTGGTATTCTACTCATTACAAAATCTTTGTATCCATTAACTTCATATACAACGTAAATTTGAAGTCTCCAAATTAGGCTGAAAAAAAACAAAGTCGAATTTTCGATTATTCTCGATCAAAAGTAATCGGATGAGTTATCGAAAGAATAAGATAAACTTGTACTGCCTATGGTATACACGAGTATGTATACCAAATTTCAGCTCTCTAGCTCTTAAATCTTCTAAGATCAGTTTGCTCATACGGACGGACGGACGGACAGACAGACGGCTTGTCGTGCTGATCAAGAATATATATACTTTATGGGGTTTGCGATGATTCCTTCTGCCCGTTACATACTTTTTCAAAAACCATTATACCCTGATTTCCCATTTGCAATGGGCTCAGGTATAAAAATTTGTAAACTCAACAAAAAAATGCAATGCATAATTAACCCATAGAAAAAGAATTAAGTAAATCGAATCTATTTAATACGGGTGTTACTTCTGTGGATGCATTAATTATTTAATAAGGATGAAATTAAGTTAAAAAAATTGTAAACTCAACAAAAACAAGTAAGAAGCCTCTAGTCGAGACTGCTCGATTAGGAGATACCCTGAACCCTCTAAACTGATATTCTACTCATTCTGCACTTCTTTTATGCACACATGCATACACACGCATCCATGCGCACGTATAATCACGCGCAGTTAGCTGCGACTGCACTTGGGCTGCGCTGCAGTGTGGGCAATATTATGAGAATTTTGTTGTTGAATAATTTCTTTTGTAGAAGGGGGCGTGGTATCTAAAATCTGTAAATTACAAAATCTTCGTATCGATCAACTGTATGTACACAGTAAATCTAAAGTTTCTAGGTCCAAAAATGTTCAAATTAGGCTGAAAAAACAAAATCAATATTTCGATTATTCTCGATAAAAAGTTATCGGATGAGTTATTGAAAAAATAAGATAAACTTGTACTGCCAATGGTATACACGAGTATGCATATCGGTTTGCTCATACAGACGGACAAACGAATAGAGCTATATCGATTCAGCTCGTCGTGCTGATCAAGAATATATATACTTTATGGGGTCTGCGATGGTTCCTTCTGCCCGTTGCATACTTTTTCATAAAACTATTATACCCTGATTTCCCATTTTCAATGGGTTCAGGGTATAACAAGTAAGAAAACTCGAAACACCGTTTTTCTGGAATTCATGCAGCACTCTAGTACATACATACATATGTAATAAGACCAGCCTTATGTTAAACTAATAGTGGCTCTGAAGAGCAACGCTTTTAGTTTAAATACATATTAAATAACTTATGTCTCCCACGGTGGGGAATTGGAGCAGAGGGCTCAAGTGTTTTGTCCGAATGGTCATAAATTCTATTTTCCTTCTTGAGCAATGTGTGTGGTGCTATGCCAGCAATATTGTCTACAATGTTGGCCTTGAGTATTGGGCTCGTTAGCGCCAATGAATTATTGAAAGATATAAGACAAATGCCTAAATCACATCGATAGCTTTAATTAAGTATTGAAATTGCAAAATAATACAAACCCCAATATATCAATATTATGCAGATAATTTATAAACAATAATTCCCGTTACTGTTAGCTTATCAAAGCTCTATTCAATCTAATTAAGTTGCTCAATGCGCAGCAATCAAATTGCGGTGATAAATTTTATATATGTTTCTAACGTTGACCTTTTCTATTGTATAATTTTAGCTGGATAAGTTTGCCAGCAAGTGGATGAAAACAGCAAAACGGAACAATTTCGTGTAATAAATCTGTAGATTGCATGAAATTAATAGCGAAATTCAACCACACTCACACATTCACACACGAACACACACACATGTATAAATAGTGCATGCAACGCATTTTTTTGGGTCATATGCACGCTGTGGTGCGGTGGTGGATGGCGGATGGTGGATAACAACGCCCCATCATAACAATACCAATAATAACGATGATGATGGTGATGATGATGATGACGACGATGTTGTTGCTGCTGCTGCTGATGATGATGACCACACCAACACGAGCACTCCTGGTATGAGAGCAAATTATATAAAATTATCATGCAGCGCAGGCAGCGGCCAACTTGGCCACTCGAATTCAACCAAAACGAGGCTAAACTTCAACTGCATACGTGGCGCTGCGTGCGGACTGCATGACGTATACGTGATATACGTATAACGTATACGTAATTGGCGCTGTGGCCAATTGCCAAAAAGCGGCCCAGGAACAAAACGTACAAAATCGAAAGCAAAAGCAAAAGCATAAAGCAAACAACGTGAGCAACAACTTAACTTAACTCAACTCAAATCAGACGTGCGACAACTGTGACAAGTGCAAAGAACAAATAGCACCACACACAAGTCGAGTGCAATCGAGTCATAGGCGTAGTCGCTGCAAATGACAAAAGTTTCGAAAGTGTTGAAAATGTGTTGAGGCAGCTGCCGCAAGATGAGAAAATGGCGAAGTTAACATTGCACCGTCTACTGCAGCGTTTGCAGCTGACGGCGCTGCAGTTGGCCAACGACACGCCCACTTTAATGCGCCGACCGCAACTCAATAACAACAACAACAACAATAGAAACCGCATGGCTCTCTTAAGCTGGCTGCACTTGTGCCATGGCAATGGACACTACTACTTAACGCTGGCCGTGCTCATCTATGGCTATCTAATGCTGCACGCCTCAGCAACCTCAACCACTACGAATATGTCGGTCGAATCGAATCTAACAACAATAACAACAAAAATAACAACAACAGAAATAAGTTTAGCTATAAGCGAAAAGAAACCAAAACGCGATGTTGTCCATGTGCCTGACGATGATTACGATGCCAGCTATCCAGATGACTTGGATGATTTAGATGCCTTGATTAATAATAAGTCAGGTGAGTATAGTATATATAGATATAAAGATATATGGATATGGACAGATTGAAATTGCAAATTAGTCACATGAATGAAAATATAATATTGCATAACGTATGAAATCGAGTTAAATGAAAATATTTAAGGCAGCAGAGTAAGAATATGTTTTTAGTTTAGAACTATATGAATCGAAGAAACAGCGTGCAATTGAAAACAGATTTAGTACTGTATTTATGAGTTAATCTTACTCAAAATACCCAAAGTTACGATTTATAGATCGAATTAATGAATTAGATTAGTGTGAGAAAACGAACGAAAGAGAGAGAGAGAGGCATATGTTGGTAAAATAAGTGATGAGATAAGATAATTTATAAAGGAAACAATTAACAAAGACAAATATTTCAAAGGTCTCAGAGATTAGATCTGACATATAATTGGGTTTAGTTGGGGCAATTGTATTTTTACAAAAAAGTAATCAAAATATTTGAGACTAGTTAAATGACCTCAGAAATTTCATGAATTATGAATAATTCAATTAAAAACAAAATTTAAATGTTGATTTCAAAAACAAAAGAACTTATGAAATATTTGCATTACCCAGCATAATTTAGTTAATAATACTTGAAATAAATAAGGTAATTGTAGTTCGAGTAAATGGTCTCCATAAGCTGACCTCTAAAATGGACCAGCTGAATGTGCGCAGAATGGCCCAAAAATAAATTGAATAAGCCGTTGAATCATTGCGGCGTTGTTAGGCAAACGAATAACCGACCTGGCCAAAAGCCGGCAAAATGGCACAGATAGAGCCATGGCAACAAGCTGGCAATCTCACGGTCTTACTGCGCTGTTACCAAAGGAGCTCAACAAAAGGCTGGGCAAGGCTAGGCTAGGCTAGCCTAGTCTGCAGCTGTTGTGCAATTTATGAGAATTATGCTCTGTGGGGAATTAACTCGCCGACACAACACGGCTATAGCCATGTGTCTGTGTTTTTGTGAGTCTGTGTGTGTGCTCGCCACAAACCTGGCCAACATTTTGGCAATGCAACATTTTGGCAAAGGTCAAGGGAAGGCCAACAGTACGTAATAAATACATTGTTAACCCCTCTATATTGGCTGCAGATGCAGATGCAAATGAAGTGGCATCAAAATTATAATTTAATTTAATATTATGTTTCTAATAAATATGTATGTCAATTCCAAATTTAATCTCTCAATTACAAAATGAATTTATAATCGTGCGCTAGAATCTGTTCTCGAGTAAGCTAAATGGTATGGGTGTAGATAGACACATGAGAGCTTACAATAATTTACTTAATGGTGACAATGACAATGACAATGACAATGACAATGACAATGACAATGACAATGACAATGACAATGACAATGACAATGACAATGACAATGACAATGACAATGAAAATGACAATGACAATGACAATGACAATGACAATGACAATGACAATGACAATGACAATGACAATGAGAATGACAATGACAATGACAATGACAATGACGATGACAATGACAATGACAATGACAATGACAATAA